GGAGGTTTTAGCATTACAATTTACAATCAACATCCACAATTAAAATCAAATCCACAACCTTACACTTGCACTAGTATTTTAGCCCTATTAAACACTTAAACAATTTGCAAACAGCATCCCAGGGCTCAAAATACATTTCAAAAATCATAAACATTAATAACTACAAGTGTATGCAAAATATAACCTACTTGGCAATATATCAAATATTACATAAAAATAATAGGAGTTAAGAGGCTATACAGTAGGAATTCTAGATTCCTAAGCTTTAGGAGCCTTTTCCCCATCTGCACTAGAGCTAGTGCTTATAAAATATTAAAATAGCGGGGTGAGTCTAGCCACTCAGTAACTAAGATACATCTACTTTATGTAGTTATATATCAATTGAATAAACACATATAAATGGAATTGATTACCTAAAATATACTTTTATATGCCACACAAGTTGTCACTCCATAAATTAACTAACATTCATACTTCTCATCTCAAATCACAGGATAAATTGCACAAGATATAGACATGTGACAATATCCCAATTCATTAATTCCATGCACATCACTGCATAACCATGTGACAATGGCATACTCACTATCACAACTTGCCACAAATTTAACAACTATGTGACACATCAGCTAAATACATGTATGATCAAACCATCCTTATACTCTTCTTATTTCCTCCTAATGAAATCGTGGGCTATAATATCAATTAGGGTTTCGTCTGTATGATTGGAATACCCAAGTTCACTAATTGTGAGATATGACTCAGCTAAAGATTAAAGTACTCACTTTTGGACTAAGGCTTTCTCCACTCTCAAATCTCTGAGGTATTGTATACCTTAAGTTAATCTCCTCGATAAATATATAGAGATAGTTAGATTCTAGTCTCTCAATAAACTATGGGATAATTCTTGACAAACAGTGGGATAAGGCTATGCCTTTGTGCACTGAAAGGTAGCCATAATTATCATATAAATTTTATCTACTCTTTTTCCTAAACGAACTCCTACCAATTGATCATGCAATGTATGATATTTACTCATTTCACCATTTTATTAATTCAACATCAACACATTGGACTTACGATATTACGCTACTCAAGTGAGCATTAATATTATTCTCACAACATTATCTACTTCCATTCTCAATTTTGTACCCAATTCAAATTCTCATTTAGCCTCATATGTCATAATTACATACTAATACAGCCACATCATTATCACGTCATATATCACACATCACAAATTTCTCATTTCAATGCACATTCATAGTTTAAAAATTCATTTCGAATTCAACTTCTATTTATGTAGGATTAAGAATAATATAATAACATATGATTTGTAGCATGCTTTCACATTTAAAGATTCAATCATACATACAAGTAAACCCATTTTTACATTAAAAATTTAATTAATAAATAATTGCCTAAAATTTGATAGGTCAAAGGTTAACCCCTCAATATATGTTTTTAAGCTTTCTTTTTAAACCCAAATATGGTGCCCGAACAATCAATTTACAATTAATCAAGTTTAAATTCATCAACATTTTTAAATACACACTTCCAACTCTCATTTTCTACTTCTAAAACACCCATTGCCCTTATTTCTCATATATAGACTTACCCATTAGGTGTATTAATTTCTATCCATCCCCAATTAACCATTATAAATCTCACATGGAGTCATTAATGCCTCAACCATCCTCATAACTCACATTTAATGCCCTATTTTCAGACATTAATGAGGCTTGCCAAACAAAAACTTATAAAATCATCAATACTAGGTTTAAACAACCTAAACAACTCCTATTAACTCTATTTAAGTCAATGGGTTCAAATTCATAGCCTATATGGACGGAAAATTAACTTTACACTTTAAACCCTAGCTTCAAACTAGTGTAAAGAGGAGGAGGAGGAATAGAAAAGACTTACCTTAGTGACTAAAAACTTCAAACCCTCTCAAATCCTTCTCAAAGTCATGCCTTAACTCTTCTCATTTCTATTTTCTAACTCGTTTGATTTCTCATTAGTTCATGTCTCTTTTTTTATAAAAAATGAGCCATGCATCGCGACATATGACATAAAGAGATTATGCCTCTTTGCTTCAGTCTATTGCACTATGCCATGATGCGTGGTGCAGAACCACACACCTTTATTTTTTTTTCCTCCCTTTTTAGCCTACATGGCTCTCACTCGGCCTTGGACCCACATCCTAAGGTAATTACCAAGCCTAAAAAAGTTCTTTAATCCTCTTGAACCATTCTATACATTAATTTCATCAAATTAAACTTGATTAATTCATTAGTAACCAAAAGGATTAAAATTTAAGATGTTACAAGAGAGGCCAGATGAATTCATTGGTGCTGGACTGCTGGAGGCAAGCTCACTGCAAATGCTTTTGCTTTTTATACATCTTTTTTTAATGTCATTGCGCTTATATGGTGCTTTGTGTCCACTCTAATCAAATATTCAATTTTTTAGTTTAATTTGGTGATAAGATTATGTCTTCAATTGTGTTGGCCATGGCAATTTAGTAGATGCAGCAAGAGGTAGTTGACGTCAATAGGTTATTAGCTTAATAGATGGAGATGTGTTTTGTTTTTTAATTTTGAAATGGGCACTTTAATATTTTCATTTTTTAATTAAATATACTTATTAAAATTATATTCAGATTCCATCTTCACACTAAACACACTTTTAAAACTCAATTATATTATTATTCCAATTTCAATTTCAATTCCATCAAAAAAAATATTATTGTACCAAATGAGGCCTTAATAAATTCCGATGTTTCAACCAACATCCATGAACCATAGAAAAAGGGACTATGAGTGTGCTTAAATATGAGATTTTGGGCAAAATATATTTTTGATTTTGCTAGAGCCATTTTGCTACACACACATATAATAATAAGAAATTTTATCTCATCATTAGGTGAGAGATTAATACATAAACTACATTATATATCAATAACCTAATTTTTTATATATAACCTTTGTAAAAAAAGTCTCATTCAAGAGTTACTTTGCTACATGCTTGACAAAAAAATTCAACATTTTAGAATAAGAACTACTTTCTTCGATCCATTTTATTAGTCACTGTTTGGGTTAAATGTGAAACATTGCTTGCTTAAGTGTTTGAATAAGCCATAAAGCCACATGGGCTAAGTGACTGAAGAGTTAGGCCTAATTAGTAACCTAAATAAAGGAGCTGGCCTCGAGCTCAGTGGAAAGCCTTGCCAAACAAGCATGTCGAAATCCCACCAGTTGTAAACCCACCCCATGGATCACTGGCACATAAAGATGATCTCAAACGATCTTGGATCTCGTGGGAATAGTATCATCATGCCCAAATATCTCGACGAGATGAGCTGGTTACTAAAAATGGATGACAGTGAGTAAAAACCATACCATGAGTTTCGCGGGATCCCTAATTCTTTGTAAGAACATTCTAGGCTCTAAGGGAGAGGCTGCCATTACTCTATTACTATAAATAGAGTATCAAAGTGCAGAAGAAGACAACAGACAACACTCAAAATACTTGCATTTTTGCATTCATAGTTCTTAGTTTTACCAATTAGTTTTATTTTCAGCTCAGACTTGTAATCGTTTTATTTTTGAATAATAATCAAACACTTATTCTACCAAGTATTGTGTATCTTTTACATCCAAGTAAACTGTGGTAAGGAAGTTCAGGGATCCTTTTTGTTATCAATTGAGACTCTACATCTCTAGCATTCCTAGTAACTTGTTGTTCTTTGACGAACAGTCACATTCTAAAAGGTTGAAGTGGTTCATTTTATAAGTCATTGGATTAATAGTGATGTTTCATTTTAAATGAAATATCTAAACTATCTTGAGAGGAAAACAAAAAAATCATATTATATAATTTATTTACTTTTTAAGGGTTATATTATAATTTTATTAAATTTTATTTTTTATACTTTTTTTGTATTGGTATTGATGAGATTGATAAAAATAATTTATAAATAAAATTAAATAAATAAAAATAATTTATAAATAAAATTAAAGGAATATGTTATTATGAATGCCTTTGATTGAGCTGGATTACATTCAGAGAATATACAAGTGTGAGCATCTATTTTTATTGCCTCATGATCTAAGACGTGTAAGCAATAGATCTGATTCCTTGATTCTTTACTTGCCCCAACTAATGTGTTACGTCACAAAAAAGATATTAGATAGGGCCTTCTTTTTTCATTTTTAAATAAATTAATAATTCTTTTATTTCTGGAAAATCAATGTAATCCCGTAAAAATGTACAGTAACCATTAGTCTAGCTGTTAAATATTCCTCTTATCTTTTTTATAAACCATTTTTATTAACTTTATTAATATTAATATAAAAAATAAAAAATTATAAAATTATAAAATTTTAAATATATTTTTATATAATAAATTTAAAAGTGATGTTACGTTATTTTTTAAAAAAAATTGATCTTTTAGTCCTCCAACTTTTAATTCACTTATAATTCAATCCCTCAACTATGACTCGTTGTAACTCAGTCCCTCAACTATAACTCACTGTGATTCAGTCCCTTAACTATGACTAACTTATAACTCAATCCCTCAACTTTTGAATCACTTACAAATTAGTCCCTGAACTTTTGTTTTTTTTTCATGTAGCTTATATCTCACATCGATGAGCAAGAGGAGGGTATTTTAGAAATATATATGAGAATTTTTTTATCCCTCTTATTTGATAAGAAATTTTTAAAAAAATTAAAAAATAAGGATTGAATTATAGGTGAATCAAAAGTTGAGGGATTGAGTCACAATGAGTTATAGTTGAGGGACTGAGTTACAGCGAGTCATAGTTGAGGGACTGAGTTATAAGTAAGTTAAAAGTTGAAGGATTAAAAGATTAATTTTTTTTAATTTTTTAATAATTTTAAAATTACTTTTTAAATATTATCTCAAAAATCACGCCGTGCTTATAAATGGGACGGAAGGAGTATTACGTGTCTTCACAGCAAAGGTACTGGAATGTATAAATGAGCCAACGTGATTGTAATTTATAACCACAGGGCGAAACGTTACTTTCCTTTGCTGAAGAATCGATCGAATTTTCTGAATTCTACTACACACGTCTCTTCTACATTGCCGATGGCCTCACCGGCGATCCATTTTCTGCTTCCGGCGGTGAGGATGCTGAGTCCGTGACCGTGGCCTGAATCCGGATCATCCGAGCGGCGGCCATGAGACTCGTGGTGCCTCTCCAAGGTGTTGTTCAAGGCAGAGGGGGCCTCCTTCTGGGCTCTCTGATCCCCTGCGCTCTCTTCTACTTCCTCCAGCTCTATCTCAAGCGGCACCGTTCCGATGGATCTTCCCGGATTCCTCTATCTCCTCCGCCATCGGAGATCCCACCAACGACCAGTGTTCAAGTGTCAAACCTCGCGAATTTTCTTGCGGAATTTGATGATTCGCCGGATGACATTGGGTTGCAGAGCCTGGCTCAGGATTCTTATGATCATGATAGATTCACTAATCCAGATAAGATGATTCAGCTGAGCTCGTCCGAGAACAAGGTTAGAGTAGCTTTTATTTTATCATTATCACTGATACTTCAATAAGTATAATATTTAATATTTAGTAATATAATGTGGATGATTTGGATAATAATTAAGAAACCGTTCTAAATAAATAACATTTAACGTAATAAATTAATAAATTTGACAGTTAAATTTTAAGACGGATGGGCAACATATTTTATATATTTGTTATTCTGTTATAGAGAAGTAAGTTTTATAGACAAATATATAATTTCTACAGTGAGTATCTCATGCTGAATTTTTGAAGAATTTTTTATACGTATTTATTTTCATTGAAAGATCAAAATAAATGGATTTAGAGTCAGTGAATGTGTTTAGTACATGGCATTAAATATCGTCCGAGCTATTTCAACAATTCTGATAAACTCATCATTCATTAATCTCAAATAAAATATAAATTCATAATTATTGATCTATATTTTAAAGATTAACTGGTAAAAAAAAAAGTATAAAGGGATTAAATTAAATTTTTTTTTTTCTGAAGTTAGAGGAGTCAAAAATATACTGAACCCTTAATATCAGTTTTTTCAATGTATGTGCTTCTTGACTTGGGTTGGTTGCATTTTTCTTGTTCTGGGATTTGATAATCAAGTGTTTTAATTAATTGTAGCTCTGCTTGGATCTAATTGAGAAGTGGTTATCAGAGAACTTGAAGAAATCGCTAGTGGGGACTGATGATTTCACTCTAAGTGTCAATGGGATTGCAACTTATCAACCATTTGATGGATTGGAGGAATTGAAAATGGTGAGATAGATTCTCCTTCAAGTAAGGTTCTTACTTTGTGTGTCACGATTTAACCATCTTCGAGAACATTGAAGTATGGAAATGCATGTCTTGTTTATGATATCATCAATCTATTTTACAAGAAATATTGAAGAATATTGGAGAACAGATATGGTTCATCACATTCTGTCTATAAAAGACAAACTCTGAACAAAAGCCTAGTACAAAGAATTCACCATGCTCTCTTTAGACCCCACGTAATATTCAGGAGAAAATTTCTGTCCAATTTCATAATACGAGCAATTTTGTTCTTATTTTGCAGGCCATGTCAAATTTTATGTCTCGGGTGATGGGAGGGATGGTGAAATTGGACCCATCAAATATGGTGCTTACTTCTGGAGCTACTCCTGCTATTGAGATGCTATCTTTCTGCTTGGCAAACCAGGAAGATGCTTTTCTTGTCCCGGCACCTTATTATCCAGGGTAATGAATCAAACCCACCCTTTTGAACCGATGCCTCTAACTAATTCCAAAACCTAATGAATAATTAAGAAAAAAATTTCAGTTTCGACAAGGATGTGAAATGGCGAGCCAGAGTAAACCTTATACCAGTTCACTGTCAAAGCGAGGACAATTTCACTCTAAGCATCGCTACTCTTGAAGAAGTTTACCGTCAAGCTGAGAAACGCGGAGTCAAAGTTCGGGGACTTCTCTTTTCCAACCCTGCAAATCCTGTAGGCAATCTGCTGACACAGGACATGCTCAAAAGTCTGGTGCACTTTGCTAAAAATAAAAACATCCATATCATCGCTGATGAAGTACTTGCAGGATCAGTATATGAAGGAGAAAAGTTCGTGAGCTTAGCTGAAGTTCTTGATTCAGAAGGTCTAGATAAGAATCGAGTTCATATAATATATGGCCTCTCAAAAGATCTATCACTTGCAGGCTTTAGAGTAGGGGTTATATATTCATTTAACAACACTGTTCTGGCTGCTGCTAGGAAGTTAAGTAGGTTTTCTTCTATATCTGCTCCTACACAGAGGTTAGTTATTTCAATGCTTTCAGATAACAAATTTATCCCGGAGTATTTTGAAACTAAACAGAAGAGAATAAGACAAGTGCGTGATGAACTTGAGGCCGGTTTAAGTCATCTAGGAATCAAGTGTGCAAAGAGCAGTGCTGGTTTGTACTGTTGGGCCGATATGAGAGGATTGTTAAGGAAACCTCATAATGAGAGAAGAGAACTTGAGTTATGGAAGAAGTTTATAAGTGTTTCTAAGATCATTATAACTCCTGGATCAGCCTGTCATTGTATTGAACCAGGATGGTTTGGAATTTGTTTTTGTGAACTAACTTCAGAAAACATTCCTGTAATTATTGAAAGGATTAGGAAAGTTGTTGAAACTTGTAAATCTTCCTGTTAAAGGTCCCTTATTATTTTTCATCAACATTAATAAAGCCATCTACATATATGCATGTTCAAGCACTGGTATAGTATTAGTCAAGTCATGATTGTTTGAGATTGAATTATAATTCTGGTTCTAAAGTTATTAGGCAGAACTGACTTTAGCTTTTGAAAATTAGTGGGTATATAATTAAATCTATTACAATTATAATAAAATTTCTATAAGAAACCAAGTTGGTAAAAATGACTTGTGAATGCATCCATATTCAATTCTCATTAGGGCCAGGAGCAATCCTAGCCCTCCATTTCAACCTTATTTGATCTCTATCGTCTATTTAAATTTTTTTAATGTTATATTTATTAAAATAAAAAAATTAATATTAAATATGGATTATTTAGAATACATTTAAATGATTAATTTATAAAATTTATAAATTTTTTAATATTAAATTAGGTCATCTAAATTATACCTGAACGGGTAAATTCTATAGAATTTATCTGTATAGTCAAATTATAAAATTATAAAATTTTTAATATTAAATTGGACTACTAGATTAAATCTGTACTTATCATATTGGTAATAAACATATATATTAAAATTTTAAATTTTTTTATATTTTTTATATTAATAAATATAATATTAAAAATATTTAAAAAATTAATTTAAATAGATGATAGGGATCAAATAAGGTTAAAATGAAGGATCAAGATTGCTCTTGACCTTGATGAGTACGCGGAAGGAATGCAATTTCCTTGTGAATAATGTATTGACGTGGTACATATGGCTTACTTTCGATTTCGTGATTTGTTAAGTAGCGTTTTTTAATTTAATTTTTGTGGGACCCACACTGGTAGGAACTTAAGTTAATTAAAGCAGAATGTGAGACCTATTTATGCTAATAGGAAACAATTTTTGTCTACACTTCATGGATGTGACTTCTATTTTATTCTTATATTGATGGAATAAGGTTTGTTGTTATCATATCAATGTCTGTTGGAAGTTGTTAAAAGAAGGGACATGTATATAAGAGTTCATCTAACTTGTTAAATCCCAGATTTGTAAACACTTCAGAAGTAATATCCTTTTAGAATCCACAATCTCAAAATAGAGAGCCCATAAACTACAACAGATTTTGATCTTGGAGAAGTACTCTCCCCAGTAAAACTTTCCTTGATCAATGCTTCCTACACCAGTTTCAGTCTGGGCAAGAACTTTCTGTCTAGCAATCCTTCAATCATCTTGCAGCTAGAAGCAAAGATGAAGCATCCAAAAGCTTCCTTTTTTGTTATGCTCTGTATCATCCATTAGGCCAAAGAGTTAGACAAGGTTTGAAATGGATTTTTTAAGTTTTCCAGTTTTTTGTATAATAAGGATCTGATGGCTTGTAAGCCATACATTTTTGTGTGCCAGAGGGAAGAAAATTTCGTTGAGGGTATTTTTCCCCCTTTTTTCATTTGGAAGGGGAATGGAGGTTGTTTTTCATGAAATAGAGATGCTTAAGATTTTGGATGAGGAAAAGACTTGTTCATATGCTACAAAATGAAATGAAGTTGAAGGAGAAATAAAATTAAAAATAATTTATGAATGAAAGATGTTACATACATACTTAGGTGGGAAAAAAAATAGTAATAAAAAACTATGGTTACTACTACTCATGAGTCTTGATAATAAAGTAACATATGTCCCAAAAAAATAACAAGGGCAAAATATATTACGTGTATCGATTCTTATGTTAATAAAGATATTACCTCTCCATGAGTATTAACAAATGGGGCTCAGGTCTTGCTTTGATTTGAAATTTGAGATAAAGAGAAAGGTTTTTCTATATTTCTTATCACGGCAAGCTTGATCATGAGATTATCGAAAGATGGTGCAAAATATTGGGTAATTGTAATTAATTAGATCCGTATCAAAATCAAACTTGTTTAATCATGGAATTACCAAAAGTGTGTAATTAGGATTTACATTGCTAAGGCCAAGTGGTTTAGATATCATAAGCAAGTATAAAACTATACATAAGTATAAATTAATAAGAGTCATGGATTGTTGTGACATGATATGAAGATTTTAGAATTTTATTTTTTTGAAAATAATACATAAAGAAGGTTTTATGATTTTTTTTTCAAATATATACTACAAACTTTATAGTAAGTAACATTATTAACAAATCATGAATGATGTAGTTTATTTTTCCAAATTCCTTGCAATATATAAGTTTAATGTATTGCTCATAAACATAAATATATTTGAAAAACTAAACTGGTTAAATATTTAAAAGACAAAATTGCTAAAAAAATTCTAGGATTCTCCCCTCCATGTGCTGGACGGTTCAGATGGAAAGAAAGAGATAAATAGAGAGGCCTAGTGGGCCCTACTATGAGAATTACTTCTCTCTTTCTCTCTCTCCAAATAGACCTTTTGCTTGTGAGAGAAACTCAGTTGGTTTCAAATATAACAAGAGAAAAGAAAAAAAATAAGGGAGGGAGAATTATTACCCTTTGAAGATCCAAGTTGTTGATCTGAACAGCTTTCCTTCTGTAGCTTCTTCTTCTGCTCAGCATAATCAGCTCTCCAAGTGTTGGTGGTCTCCTTAACATGGCATTGCTATCATCTTCTTCTCCATCAAAATCTAAGCTTTCCTTCAATTCTAGTGGAGTTGAAGATCCAGCTTTCTCAACAAACCCAGAATTTGGTGGAAACAATGGAAATAGACTCTCCAGGAAGGAAGCTCCAACCAGACTTGACCTTCCTGTTTCATAGCTACTTGTGCTACTTCCATTATCAGAAGCTGGGGATGAACATGATGACTCAACAATCTGTTCACTCAATGAACTTTTCTGCAGTGGAATGTTGGTAGAAAGATTTTCTGATGCTACCACACAGCTTGCCAGCAAAGAAGGATCTGAACAAGCAAATGATTCAGGTCCCATGCTAGTTATACTGTCATCAATATCACTCCCATAATCGAACTTTCCATCACTATTGCTTTCTTTGCTGGCAACATGGTAGTTTGAAGAAGATGAAGATGAAGATGCCATATCAGTGAACTTAGCTTCTGCATTGAGTGTGAAATGAGGAATGGGTTTTCCAGGCTTTTCTTCCCAAGCAAAGGGAACAGAGGCAATTAGTTTGATAGGAGACTTAGGAACCTGAGAAACTGAAGAAGAAGAGGAGGAAGAAGAAGATGATGATGCCATATCAGTGAACTTGGCTTCTGCATTGAGCGTGAAATAAGGAATGGGTTTTCCAGGCTTTTCTTCCCAAGCAAAGGGAATAGAGGCAATTAGTTTGATAGGAGACTTAGGAACCTGAGAAACGGAAGAGGAGGAGGTGGAGGGGGAGGAAGAAGAAGAAGAAGATGATGATGATGATGATGATGGAGGCTCTGGTTTCCAATCTTTCTTGGGGGTGCCTGGTCTTGCTTCCCATATAAATGGAACTGAAGGAGGTTCCCTAAACCTGACCTGCTTCTTCCTCTCTGATTCATCCACTTTTTCCCCAAGTGAAAGCTTATGATTTTGATTGCTCTGGTGCAGTTATATAGTATACTTGGAAGTGGTGGGTAGGTGTAGTTTCCACTAACATATAGAGTTTCATATTAACTGAGCCATTTTGTGTTCTTAGGGATTAGGCAACCTGCCATCCATCACCACTTAGTTCACAAGTGCCTAACTAAGCCACAGTCACAATTCAAACAAGTCCTACCTACTCCTATATATCTTCCATTTATTTGTTCACTGTTATAACTCCGCCTATGTTTATAGCCGGTCCCAAGCCCGGGTAAAGGAGGAGGGTTGTGTTAGGCCATCAACAGCCAATGTAAAAATTTGTTGAATCTATCATGAACATGGACAATAGACGTTATAATGTTAATGCTAGGTCGTTGCCCGTAAGTAACGCGCTGCATGGCTCGAGTACAGTGATAAGTGAGTTAGAGCCGCTGCATCGGCGCCCGGATGTAGTGTTAAATGAGCAAGGGCTACCGCGTCATTCTGGACGCACGCGGCTAAAGAAGTTAGTCCATAAGAGCAAAATTAGATTTGGTACTTGGAATGTTGGGACATTAAATTGTAAATCTGTAGAGGTTGTAGGGGTTATGATTCAAAGGAAAATCAATATCCTTTGTTTGCAAGAAACAAAATGGCGTGGAGAAGGAGCTAAGGATATTCAAGGTTTCAAACTTTGGTATGCAGGAAAAGTAAGTGCACGCAATGGAGTAGGCATCATTATAGATAATGAGTGGAAGAAGAACGTTGTAGAAGTTAGCAGAATTGGAGACAGAATTATTTCTTTAAAAATGATAATTGGACGTGAGACTGTTAATATTGTTAGCGCTTATGCGCCGCAAGTCGGGACAGAAGCCAGTCTTAAGGAATTATTTTGGGAGGATCTGGAGGGGTTGATTCGACACATACCACAGAGTGAAAAGATTTTTATTGGAGGAGACTTTAATGGGCATGTCGGGAGGGAAGCTGGTCAGTATGCGAGGGTGCATGGTGGTTTTAGTTTTGGAGAGCAAAACAATGAAGGGCAAACTCTTCTTGATTTCTCATTGGCGTATGATTTTAAGATTGCCAACACTTGTTTCAAGAAGAGAGATGAGCATCTCATCACTTACAAAAGTGGAGCCTCAAGGTCGCAGATTGATTTTCTTTTGGTTAGGAACACAGATAGAAAACTTTGTAAAAATTGTAAGGTGATCCCTGGAGATGCTGTAACGACACAACATAGGGTCCTAGTCCTTGATGTGTGTATTATGAGTAAAATCCAAAAACGTCGACAAGTAGTAACACCAAAGATTAGGTGGTGGCAATTAAAAGGTGAGAAGCAAGATATTTTCAAGCGAAATCTTTTGGATAAAGGAATTTGGGATTCTCAGGGAAGTGCTAACATCATATGGGAGGATATGGCTAAAAAGATACGGGAGGTTGCAAAAGTAGTTTTGGGAGAATCGAAAGGTTCTGGTCCGAGAGATAAGGAGTCTTGGTGGTGGAATAATAGTGTACAGGACAAAATCAAGTATAAGAAGAACTGTTTTAAAGCCATACATTTGTGTAACAATGAAGAAAATTGGAAGAGGTACCGTATGGCTAAGAAGGAAACTAAGAGAGCTGTGGGTGAAGCTCGTTCCAAAGCTTTTGAAGAATTTTATAAGAACCTTGAGACGAAGGAAGGAGAGCAAAATATTTATAAGATTGCCAAGAGTAGGGAAAGAAAATCAAGAGATCTAGAACAGGTAAGGTGTATTAAGGATGAAGAGGGAAGAATTTTAGTTACAGATGATGAAATTAAAAATAGATGGGAGACTTATTTTTCTAAACTTTTCAATGATGGAGAGGATTCATCTAGTAACTTGGAGGATTTAGTAACTGGTGAAGGAGAACAAAATTTGTCATTCTATCGAAAAATACGTGATAAGGAGGTAAAGGAAGCTCTTAAGAAAATGGCAAATGGTAGAGCTAACGGACCTGATTGTATATCTATCGAAGCGTGGAAATGTTTAGGTGAAGAAGGGGTGAGATGGTTAACTAAGTTATTTAATGTGATTTTACGGTCCAAGAAAATGCCTGATGAGTGGAGGAAAAGTACATTAATTCCTATTTATAAAAATAAAGGAGATATTCAGAATTGTACTAACTATAGAGGGATTAAACTCATGAGCCACACAATGAAATTGTGGGAGAAAGTAATTGAGCACAGGTTGATATTGGAGACAAGTATTTCTGAGAATCAATTTGGTTTTATGCCAGGTAGATCAACTATAGAGGCAATTTATCTACTAAGGGGATTAATGGAAAAGTATCGTTGTAAAGATAAAGATCTACACATGGTTTTTATTGATTTGGAAAAAACTTATGACCGTATACCAAGAGAAGTGCTTTGGAAAGCGTTGGAAAAAAAGGGAGTACGGATTGCTTATATTAAAGCCATACAAGATATGTATGAGGGGGTAAAAACTAGTATAAGAACGCCTAGTGGTCAAACAAAGGATTTTCCTATAAAGATTGGACTACATCAGGGATCATCTCTGAGTCCTTATTTGTTCAACTTGATTTTAAATGTTTTGACGGAACATATTCAAGAGGAAATCCCGAAATGTATGCTCTTCGCAGATGATATAGTTCTTATAGCAGAAACAAGAGAAGAGGTTAATTGCAAACTTGAGTTATGGAGGAGGACATTGGAGTCGAAAGGTTTTCGTCTGAGTAGAAGTAAGACGGAATATTTATATTGTAAATTTGGTAAAGGACTATTCGAAAATAATTTGGAAGTGAAATTGGGAGATCAAATTATACCTCAAGTGGAAAAGTTTAGATATTTGGGAGCCATTATTCAAAATGATGGCGAAATCAGTGGAGATATTTCACATAGAATTCAAGCTGGGTGGTTTAATTGGAGAAAAGCTAAAGGAGTTATTTGTGACCGTAAGGTGCCTAATAAACTTAAAGGAAAGTTTTATCGTACTGCTATCAGACCGGCAATGTTATATAGTAGTGAATGCTGGGCTCTAACGGGACAGCAAGAGCATAAAGTTGGAGTAGCAGAGATGAGAATGTTACGATGGATGTGCGGACATACACGTAAAGATAAAATTCGAAATGAGCACATACGTGAAAAAGTGAGGGTGGCACCTATTGAGGAAAAAATGGTAGAAAATCGGTTGAGATGGTTTGGGCATGTACAAAGAAGACCAAGGGAGGCACCAGTGAGAAGAGTGGAACATATAACTTTGAGTCCGATTAAGAGAGGTAGAGGAAGGCCTAAGAGAACACTCTTGGAAGTTGTTGAACATGATCTCTTAATTAATAATATTTCTAAAAGCTTAATAAATGATAGAGTACAATGGCGTCTTGCAATCCATGTAGCCGACCCCACCTAGTGGGATAAAGGCTTGTTGTTGTTGTTGTTGTTGTTGTATTTGTTCACTGTTATGATAATTTATTGATATATAAAATATACAAAACTGTTGTGTGTTGGATCTTACTTTTATGAATTTGACGCTTGAAAACTGATGGGACATTTTGTGGGTATGAACATAACTTACATAGCGTAATTTAGTTGGATTGATTTTGACCAACAAGCATTTCTCATGCTGGCCAAGCTAAGCTCGGTGCTCAACAAGCAGTACTAAATGAAATGTTTTTTAGTAAAAAAAATTATATGAAAAAATAAAATCAATCATTTTTCTATTTTGAAGTTTAATTTTTTTTAATCGAATCTTCAAATTTTAAAATAATTACATCGAAAGAAGAAATAAACGGTCGATTATTAAATGGGATTCCTATAATTCTATGGGCCATGGACTAACAGTTTTCATTTCTTCGGCCCACATGTGGCCCAAGGCAATCATATGGTCAAATACCTTAATCACCCTTTCTTTTTTTCTTTTTTTTACGTTACTTTTATTTTACCTACCCAATGTTTTAAAAATAATAATTAATTATATTAAACTATCTTTAATTACATGTTTTTTTATAAATTGGGCATTTTTCTTCCAGAGGGAATTTGCATAAAAAATGGGGAAAAGATCCCTCCCAGTTAAACTTTTCTTTTTTTTTTAAAAAAAAAAGCCATGTTTTATATTTATTTTGTTTATCCCCTCAAGTGCGGCCAAATAGAAAGTGGTGATATTTATAAAAAGATGAGCATGTAAACAGATGAGAGAGAGTTTTATGAATAAGTTTTCGAAACAATTTCAATATACTCCTCCCATCTTTTTAATAAATTATTTTTATCAACTTTATTAATATTAATATAAAAAAATTATAAGGAATAAAAGTGTATAAAATTTTAAATATGCTCTTATATAATAAATTTAAAAAGTGATATCATATTACTTTTTTTTTCTTCATGAAAGGTAATCTTAAAAATATTTTTTAAATATTATTTAAAAAATTGTAATATAACTTATAAGGGGATCAAATAGACCATTTAGAACTTGCCTTATAAATAGGATTGGAGGAAATAATATTATATAAATTAAATTGATCTATCCAATGATTTCTTTCTCTTTTTTTTCAAACACCTGTCCATCCTTTAAATTTTACATATCACACAACGAGTGCACACTATCAAAGACGAAATTACATTGTAAGAGTAAATTTTATTAGTTTATTTTTAGAGATGCATGAATTATTTATTTTTTATTTCGAAAATTTATACAATTAATTAATGTTAAAATATGGTTTAAAATTAAAATTTTCAAGAACATTATTAGTTTCTTTTATTGAAAATATATTTCCAAACCATTTATTAAAAATCACAAGTTTTATTCATTCTAAATTTAAAATTTTAATTATTTATATTAGTTGAATATGCATGTAATATTATTTAAATGATACAAATATTTTATTCAAAATTAGTAATTTAAACTCATCTATTGACATAAAAAATATTAGTACAATCTCTTTTTTATTCATTTATGTGTATGTGTGAACAAGTAGATCTAAAAAATGGATTTTGTCTTTGTTAGATGCTCTTGGATAATTAAATTTAATCAATAGTGCCTTAACATACATAATTGTAGTTAGTTCTCAAGTGCCTTCTTACTTTTGGCTTTTTTATTGTTTCCATTTGATAAAATAAGTAAATGGAATGCTAATGGGAACCATAGCTTTATTCCGTTTAGTTTTTAAACAATTCATTGTTGTTTGGGCCAGGTCAATGAACAATTTTTGTATCCAAGTTTCTTTTTCCCCCTTCTCAATGTATAATTATGTATTAATTTTATAAAATGTATATAATTAAATTCTATGTGCAACTTATTAAATTAACAGACCAACAGATTAACATTGTCAGTATCAAAAGATCACGTGAATGAAAAGCCAAGTGGATGTCTTGAACAATAATATTAAAAATAATATATTGTTATAATTATTATCACTATTTTCATTCATTAAAGAATCGAATCATCCATGCTTGCGAAGGTATAAGTTTGTTAAACAGCATTATAAAAACTAATTGGTAAAATAGGAGGAATAGATCGAATAGAATAATTGTACAAATGAATAGCTATTATTTAAAAGTAGTAAATATTACTAAATAATGGCAAATATTTAATAATTACTCATTTCGTTAAAAAATACAAGTCATTTTTAATCTCTTGAGGTACAATCATTATCTTTTTTAAAAAATATTCTTATTAAAAATGACTTTATATTTATTGTAAGGTATTTAATAAAAACAAATATAAAAAAATAGAATTAATTTAAAAATAAATAATTATTTTATTATGGGTGAAATTCTATTAAAAATGTCTTACATTTTTTAACGGAAGAAATATTTGCTTACCAACAATATTTAATAATTATTACACAGTTCATTTTCTTTGTAATTAAAAAGTGTCTTTCCATCAATGCAATAAAAAATCAAAAAGAAAAATCTTCTATGTTAGGATTTTATCAGGCGTTTAAAAACTGTTAATCATATTTTATGAATTTTTAATAATTAAGGTTTTAACTTTTAATTAACTAATTACTTCATAACTTTCTTAAATTCTATAGGGGCCAAATCTTCAACTCTCTTTAAATAATCACTTTGCATAATCTGATCATTCTTCAATTCTCAGCTTTTTGCTTTGTGGTTATGCATACAGCAAATATTATATCTGAGAGCAAACTGTGCCTTTCACATATGAATATATGATGCAGCAAAGATCTTGTCATAATCTTTAAAATATTTCAAGTAATTTATGAATCACACACACACACACACATTTATGAAATTAATGTCATACCAAGATATAGGTGAATTAACTGCTTAGTAGTTTATGACTCACCATATGAACCACACATAATGATTCTAAAGCTAGTGGCGCAGCCATGAAGAACACCACCATCAACAATAAATACTAAACAATGTAAGTATCAATCATTGTTAATATGGATGGAAAAATTATAAGCTATTAAAGAATATTTGCAGATGATTAGAAAAAAGTATTTATGAATATATATATTATATAATCATCCTGCATTTCTTGAACAGAGTTTACTCGAAACTCAAATCATCTACACACATGTACGTCAATACTCATATACAACGATGCCCCCAACTTAACTCAGTTTTATGAAAAAGAAACCATATCAGATAAACAGAACAGAAGAAAACCAAATCTCCACTCTGGTTTCTCTTCATTTAAAGCATAACAAAGAGTTTTGAGTAAATTCTTATGGTATGATTGATCTAAATATTCTAAATTTGTGTCTAAACTGACTAAATTAACTGAACAGTCAAGAAAAAAAAACGAATATTATATTATTTCCTCATCCAAAATCATGAAAATCTCTAGCAAGGTCTCTGCAAATTGAGCAATCCAAGATTGAGATTGGCACAATGAAACAAGGCTTGAGCAGTCATTTCTCTCTCAAACCTGCAGATATAATTCAACCCCACAAGCAGCTCAGTTATGGCGGCTTCAGTCTTGTCTTTATTAGCAAAGAACAAAGTCTGCAACAGTAACACATTAGTACTTTTCTGCACCAAATTCTGCTGCTCAAAGCTCCTTTCACTCTGCCACTTAATCATATTATGAGCCAATGGCGATAACCACCCCAGAATCCTCCCTAAAGCTTCCCTCCATTCTCCTGCAAGCACAGCATCACTTGCAGAAAACCCTATACCTCTCAATCGTGACCTTAACGATGATCTTATGCTGTTTGGTAACATAGCATACAGATCATCCCTCGCGTCTAGTCCAACCAAGTGGGGTGACTTTATCATCTTCTCCATCACTATGATTAAATTGGCATAGTGCAGAGCCAAAGCTGAAGCACCTAGAGTTCTAGGAGGTGGGTTTAAGAGATTGCAATGAAATTCAAAAAACCCAGATGTTGAATTATTCTTGTCATCTTCAAGCTTCGGACTTTTCAATGGCCCAGACACGAATGTCCAAGAAGAAGCGTTCTGGTTTTGATCTGAGGGGTAAACTAAAGCTGAAGATGATAGACTACGAGACAGAGGAGGAACAGAATTTCCTATGGCAAAAACATGCTTGACTCTCGCTAGGACAGTGAAAATTGACCTCACAAGCAATGGAACTACAGAATCGAAGGTTCTATTCCATAAAGATCTATCTTTCAAATCCTTTACCTCTTGTTTCTTCCAGAAAATCTTCTGTTGAAGCTCATAAGCTTTCTTCTGCTTTTTGGTATCGTTGCTGTGGTGCAGAGTTTTTCTCAACCTACTTTCTAGAAATGAAAGTTCGTCCATTTCTTTGTACAACGCTGCCGTAAGAGTCACGTAACGTTCCATTTTCTTGTCACAGGCTTCGATTTCTTTCGGACCCGAGAGGACCCAGCGGTTCGGGTCGATACCCGAATCGGCGAAACCTCGGAATATCGGGTCGAATGATCGGAGATTCGGGTCTTGGCATTTAAGGCAAAGTCTAGAGACGGAATCGACAAGGATTCTGAGGTTGTCGGCGAACTCAGCGCAGGCGAGGCTAAGGAGGAAGGACTCATCGTTGGAGACAATCTTACGGACACCTTCGAGGGAGACGGCGTCGTTTCGGAGACGGATTATGCTGGAATCGGAGAGGGAGTGGGAGAGGTGGAGGAGCTTCGACATGAGTCCGGCGATCTCGAAGGCCAAGACTCCGCCGACGTGTCGTTTATTAGATTTGAGAGACGGCATCTTGAGAAGATTCGGCTTCGAGGGTCGAACGGAGTCGAAGCTGTTGGACACCGCAGTTTTGACCTTGACAAGCAAAGTTTCAAGGGCCATGAGGGATTTTTCAAGGTTCAAGGAGGAAGATGGCGAAGTGGGCACCGATTATCTCTTGGGTGGGTATAAGGAAACGCAAGGGATCATAGGCGAACGAAAGAAATGAGGATGAAAAGCTTGTGATTGTGAAAATCCATGAGAGAATCAGAACAAGATAATCGCAGAACCAGAAGAAACTACATGTAGGAACAAGAAGGAGGAAGATGGCGAAGTGGGTAGTGATTCATTTGCTGGTGAGTATGAGGAAGAAAAACAATGGGAAATCCATGAGAGAGAGGGAGGAGGAGGAGGAGAGGAAGAAGAAAATTGGTTAAAGGAGAGGGAAAGAGAAGGAAGAAGGTGAAGTGCCTGTGAAAGAGAGTGAATCGGAGAAGTGAAGAGAGAGAGAAGGCGGAGGAAGTGGGGAGTAAGAATGGGAGTTATAACGGCGAAGGAAGAAAAGAGGCACATGCAGACGCAGACGCATAGCGAAATTGTGGAACCTGAAGGAAATTACATCTAAGTACCTCTACATTCTCAAATTTTATATTCTAACATTTTTTTTAAATTACGTTTTAATGAACTTTGCAAGAAAAAATTATGTCAAGCAAACTCCCTTCAGTTGAGTTTATTATGAAGATATATACTCTAGATTTAAAAGATCAAAAATTTTAATATTAAATATATATATATATATAATAAATATAAGAAAAATAAAGTTGTTAACATCTATAATTGCATTTATAATTGTCAATATCATTATAAAAAATAATCTCAAATTATATTTTATACATGTAAATTGTCTAATAATAAACTTAGTTTTTAGTAAGATTTAATTTTTAATTTTTTATATTTTTTTAAATTTTTAGATTTTTTTAACATTATGTTTAAAATTGTCTAGTTTCTAAAAATCACTCTGATTTTTGATTTAACTTTAATTTTTAGCTTAATAATGGCTCAACTTTGATATAATTTGGCTCATTCATAAAAATAATTTTTTAGTCTAAATCGAGCCATTAATGACTCTAATCATCCGATTCAATCTAGTTTTTAAGGCATTGATATGGACTCCATTTTTTAAGATTTTTAACTTTATAAATCATCCCACAAATTGCAATTGCATAAAGAGAAGAATTAATTTACATGATTATATAATACAAAACTTTTGATTGATAAATTTAAAATTATTAAATATTCATTTGGAAGTGATAAAATATAATTCTACCACTAAATATATGCATGTCATGGTATTATTTATGAAATGGTTAAAATTATCATCGGATTCTTAGAATATACTCCTTTCGTTTAAAAATATAAAGTATTTTTAACCGAATCTCATCTCTTAATAGAGTAGTTATCTACTTTCAAACTAACCATATATTTTTATATTTACTCCTATTAAACACTCTACAATAAATACAAAGTCATTATTAATAGGAGTACTTTAAAAAAAGATAATAATTATACCTCAAAAAATTAAAAATGCTTTATATTTTTAAACATTTAACTATTCAAAAAATGTCTTACATTTTTTAACAGAGGGAGTAATTCTTTTCCATTTTGTGACTTCTTACAAAATATGATAATTTATTTTTAACATAACAGATTAAGAGTGTGATTTTAACTTCAAATAAGATTTTTTTTTTCAAATAAAATAATAAGATCTCTTTATTTAGTGTTCAAAAGAAATTTTGATCCTTAAATATGAAGATTTTTTTAAAGAAAATCATAAATTAAATATTGTAAAATATGGGTTTTAAGATGCAATTTTGAGTTGATAAGTACTAGTGTACTATTATATCAGACCAGGACTTGAGGTTATGATTCATTCAGTCGCTATAAAAGCGCGTAGAAGCTTCACACATCATTAACCCACTTTGCTTTTTATGGTTAATTCTGTGGGAAGAGGTGACTCGTACCAAAGTTTTTCCATTCATAAAATTTTTACTAAATTCTAATTTCAAATATTTATTTTTCCTCTTAATTTACCTCTCTACAGTCTACACTGTATTCTATAATATCTATGTTCCTTTCGAAAAATTTCCCCTTAATTCTTTTAATTAAGTTTCAAATTTCATTGGATATTTAATTATATGAATCTCACAACAATTACACTATTTAATATTTAATGTGATCCCCCCCCCACACACTATTATTAATTTATTATTTTTGTTTTATAATAAAAAAATGTACAATGTCCGTATGAAGAGTGGTGTACCTAGTGATCTTGAAAATTTTATTTTCATAATACTTAATCACTTGTGGTCACATTTCAAAAGAGAGACTTTTTTTTTGTTGGGAGTTGTGTTTGGAGGCAGAAGAACACTTTTTCTTAGATGATGTTATGTCAGAAAAGAGGGCCATATCATTATTGGCTGTTTCTCTTTTGAATTTATATATATAAATCAATTGTTTTTGTTCTCATTGATTTGTTTGTTTCTTCTCTATTATTAATTATTTAACTGCTCTCTTTAAGATAATCAACTTCCATTTGATTTACCTCCCAATCTTCTCATATGCGAACAAATTAATATAGATTACAATTATTACATATGTAAATTATAATTGTCTTCAAAAAAAATAATTAAAATAACTATATATGATGTTTATAGGATTATTATTAAACTTTTTTAAAAAAAATTACTTCAGAACATTTGGTCTAAATTTGTTAAGAGTTTGGGTCGTTGATCGTAATTTTCAAGAAATGAAAAGAGATTACCATCTTTGAAATTGTGATAAGCGAGTATTTATCTTTACACCTTATCATGTTTTCCCATAATAAGAATCCTATGCCACAAAGTTTCTACATAACACAAAAGAAAAAGAATAGCTATGCCAAGTCCACTTTAGGGTTTTAGTAAATTCAATTATATTAACCGATTTCAATCTGATTAAATAGAAAATGAACTCGATATTTAATAAAATAAAATTGAGAGTTTGAATTTTATGATGAAGAAAATTACACACAAGCTAGGAGAGTTATCACATTACTACTAACACTCAAATTCGAATTATTGATAACCAGAAAAAACAATTACAATAAGAAAACTAAAACCATTACAATGACAAAATAAGATGAGTATTAATAAATTTAAGAAGGGAAATATAATTAGTATGAAAAGATGATATGATGCATGTGTCTAGATTTATTTAAATGAACATTCAATAATGGCTATAGCATGTGTGCCTATGCAATTGTGTTTGAAGTTTGAATGGGTTTATTAATTAGGAGATAATATAGCTTCATGTGCATGCTACACAAAGTTTGGCACTTTCTGGGCATTGTTATCTGGTTTATTTTAATTAAATATCTGTCAGATAAAAAAATTAAATATTTGTGCATTTTATTATAATGCATGTCATGTTTTCAATAAATTATAAATATGTTGTCCTAAAAACCTACTCTTCTTCTTCTTCTTCTAACATATTCAGACCTTTTTTTTTTTTTAACTTTCTCTTTTTAGCTGAACATCCTCAGATTCGAATATACCACACAAAGTCAGACCATATAATATGTCTAATTAATTGGGGCTTTATTGTTAAATATTATTATTTATTGTTATTAATTTTTTTTGATGAGTCATAACTTCTTATTTAAAGATGAATACAAGTATAAAAATCACATTTAAGAACAATATATTTATAAATAAGGATCAAGATAAAACAGATTGTTATTAGAATGAAAACATGATCTTTTTTTTTAAATAGAACTTATTTTTAGTTTTTATCTATGAATAATTTACTTGAATGATCTTTAAATGTGATTCTCTCCAAAAACATATGTCATGTAAATGTTATGAATGGTTGATTGATACATATATATACATACATGTGTGATATTGTTTTATGATACGAATGTGATTTGAGTGCCACGGAGGAGATCTAATTAGCTATGAAATGACACTAATTATAAGCAAATTTGAGGATCGAGATTTGGTGTGTTTGAGATAATGTTCGAAGCACTAATTGTTAATGTTAATTAATCAACTAATTAAAGAAAATGTGATTATTAATGAGCTTAATTTGTCTTGTTGCGTGCGTGCATTGAACTTCAATCTCTCTAATCTCAATTTCCAAAACCAAGGAAGATGTACATTCGATCCTCTACCGACCATGGTATTTAAGTACCCCCATGTAAATTTATTCTTATTAATATATATTTTCAATTTACAAGACACTGTTTGAAATAAATTGTCAAAGATCAAATAATCTTACTTCATTCATCTCAAATTATAAAATATTTTTAGATAAAATTTTACATACCTATAAATTTTGTTAAATAAACTTAACCACTTATTTTTTTAAACAAAAATATAAAATTTTAAAAATATGCTTCATTTAATAACCTTAAATCTACACTTAATTAATATTAAATAAAGAGAGAGAAAAGATAATGTTGCAATAAGCCATTTAATGAAACCTTAATCTTTTAAAATTATCTTATATTTTGAGATAATTTTTTTTAAAAGTATTTTATAATTCAAGATGGAGAGAGTATTAAATATGATTAGAAAGTTATTTTTTTAAAAAAATATACTTTTAAAAATATCATCCATTTAACACTAAATGCTGACTAATTCTTATGGGAAAAAACCTAACTTCCACATAGTAAATAAAATATTTTGGGAATAAGATCGTTAATGACTCATTGTTTTTCCAAAAATATCTTACAAATCAAAGTGGGGGAGTATCACATAAAAAACATAATAACACTTTTTGCACTTAACATATTCCACTCTTTTTATATTTAACCTTTTTTACATAGATTTATTTTGCAATATTAAGTTATACAATTACCCACATTTATAATTGAGATTATATAAACAAATGTAATTCAATTCTCTCCTCATCCCCAGGCTTAAAATAATAAATAGAGTTCTTACTAATAAATGAATATATTGAGCATTGACTTATAGTTTGCATGTATAGCTGTATGATTGCTTGCTGTAATAATGTAAATATATAAATAAAAGGCACTAATATGGATGGAGTGGTGGGATGAATAAGAAAATGATCATAATGGTGTAATTAATAATTAGGCAATTTGAGTTGGGAAAATTAAGGAATCTAAAAGGACTTTTAACATATTGGATTTGATATGCTTAATTTTTCAATTTTGATAGTTTCCTAAAATTTGGTTTAGTTAGGCACTGTTCTTGAATTAATGTCAGCCTAGAATAACCTATACACATATTATCAATCAAACAATTACATATTTTATAACGCATAATAATTGCACAATCTCTATATTTAAATTTGGCCTGTATATATTACTCTTTCTTTATATGTATATAAAATTATATAATGATGTCTTTAGAACTATAAAAATGGCTAAATATTGTACAATGTCACCTTAGTATTCGGTTCAAATTATCTATTTATCTTTTAATTAGAATGGACTTAAAATTTTAAGATGAGCTGCACTATTCAC